AACACCCCCATCCTGAAGCGCACAACCCGCCACCAAGTTCGTAGAGAACGAGGGGAGATGAAGACCTGACAGTGTGCCCGACGGGACAGCAGGACAAGGAAGGAGGGTGGAGGAGGTCGCAATAACCGGACCCCCAGAGGGGTCAGCGAGCGAGACAGCGACTGGTCGAGCAAGGGGCTCAAGAGCAGTGCGGTCACGAAAGAAATAGCGCGAAGCGCCTGAGTCTAGAGTGAAGGTGTGCAGTGCCTCAGTGGACTCAGTAGTACCTGGGGTGGCGGACACACAAGCACCTAGAGCAGTAGCCTCACCAGTACCTGGGGTAGCAGACACGCAAGCACCTAGGGCGGCAGCCTCACTCGTGCGGATGCTTGGGTCAGGCGGAACACTCAGGTACTGGTCCTCCTCTCCACTAATAGTCAATGCATACATTGCTTTGAGAATAACATAAAAATCAAGAGCATAGATATCGATATCCTTCTTGAGGAGATCAGCCCACTGAGGGAGCTCAGGAGCGTCAGGAAACTGAGCACGCCAAGCATCATCTAGGCGAGAGAAGCAGCGCTGCGCAGTGTGCGCCCTCCCGCACGTCTGTCCCTTGCGGCGACCAGTGCGGATGACGTACGTGCAGCTAAGGCTACCCCCCCCACCCCCGTGCTGTAAGTACCACTCACGAAGCTCCTGGGAGGACTGAGGGTGCTGCGCACTCTGGCCAGTGCCAGAGCCTCCACGACCACCACCGCCGCCTCCACCACGACCACCACCGCCCCTGCCGCCGCCACGTCCACTGCCGCCACCACCACCGCCCCCACCCCGGCCACCGCCGCCGCCGCTGCCTCCACCACCCCCACCGCTGCCACTAGCCCCTCCAGCCCCGCCACCGCCCCCGCCGCTGCCACCACCCCCACCACCGCCTCCCCCGCCGTCACCCCCACCGCCCTTGCCTCCCCTGCCCTTGCCGCTGCGGCGCCCGCTGGGAGCGGACGCAGAGCCGACCTGCTCAGCACCAAGAAGGTCGACAGCAGCAGCAGAGGCGACAGAGGGGAGGAGGGGGGAGGGGGAACACCCCTCGAAGAAAGGGGTGCGGGGGTCGCCACGAGAGGCACCTACAGCTACAATACTCTTCTCAGCTGCAAGTAGTTCCTTCTCTAGGGCGGCAATGGTGAGCTCAGTGGGGCAGCGAGCTAGGAAGTGGTCCCTGACTGTACGCAGAGTGTCAGGGAGGCGGGTGACTAGGTGGTAGAGAGTGAGCCAGAGCGGGGGAGGGTTGGAGGCAAGAAACTCAACGGGCATGGCTGCACGGAAGCGGGCATCACTAGTACGGAGGTGAGTGATGAGGTCAGCGACTGTCTGGAAAGCGGACAGGTCGGGGAACAGGTAGGGAAGGGAGAGACGGCCTAGTGCAGCTGAGGCCGGGGAGGAGTAGCGCGCAACTACAGCAGTGTACAGGGCCTGCGCAGTCTGATGCTGGCCGAAGTGCTCACGCTCATCGACTGGCAGGGAGTTGCGAATGGCAAAGCAGGCGTGGGCATCGCGAGTCTGCCACTGCGAGCGAGCAGTAGCGGTAGCAGTAGTAGCAGGAGCAGGGACTGTGCCTAGTGCGTGATCGTACAGCGAGATATCCTCTCTGGCAGTGAGCTGGAGGAACAGGTGCAGATCATCGAGCCAGGTATCAAACTTAATCGGGCGGCCCTCAGTATCGAACGAGAGAACTGTAGGGCTAGCCATAGCTGAAGCAGTAGCAGTGGCAGCAGTAGTAGTAGCAGGAGTAGCAGTAGCAGCAGTGGTAGTAGCAGTAGCAGCAGTGGTAGTAGCAGTAGAGCGGCGCGGCTCGGCTAGGGCGGCGCGGCTCGGCTAGGGCGGCGCGGCTCGGCCGGGTCGCGCGGCTCGGTCGGGTCGCGCGGTTCGGCTCGGTCCTAGAGGGGCGAGCGCGGGGCCGGGTGGGGCTGCTAAGTGAGAGCGCGGGGCCGTCCAGGGCGAGGGCGAGGCCGTGAGAGGCTAGCGCGGGGCCGACGGGGGCCTTAGGGGGCTAGCGCGGGGCCGACGGGGGCCTTAGGAGGCTAGCGCGGGGCCGATCGGAGGCCTTAGGAGGCTAGCGAGGGGCTAGCGCGGGGCCGACGGGGGCCTTAGGAGGCTAGCGCGGGGCCGATCGGGGGCCTTAGGAGGCTAGCGCGGGGCTAGCGCGGGGCCGACGGGGGCCTTAGGAGGCTAGCGCGGGGCCGATCGGGGGCCGTGAGAGGCTAGCGCGGGGCCACACGGGGCCTTGAGAGGCTAGCGCCGGGCCGTAAGGGGCCTTAAGAGGGCGACGCGAGGGGCCGTGAGGGGCCTTAAGGGGCGACGCGAGAGGGCCTTAGGGGGCCTTAAGAACGAGGCGCTCGAGGCGCAGGAAAAAAAAGGCGGTGCACGAGGGCGCGGCTAGCGGAAACGGTGGGCCCTATCGTTTCGGTCCTAGGTGGAACCTAGGCTCGTAATACCATGTCAGAATCAGAAACGAGAATGAATGACTAGAATGAGTGTTGGGTACAAATAGGTCAAACCTAACCCTAGAAATGTGTACCCACTATAGGCTAACCCACTGTAGCCTAAACAAGCACATCATACAATGTTTAACAACACCCGCTACTATCTCCACGCCATACCGCTACACGGTAGGGAACGGCAAAGGAAGCTCCGCCTTACTCAAAACCGCCGGAATACGCAACTACCAGCGAAAACTGGGCTGCCTCCTCTTCGCAGCCGTCACCTGCCGGCCAGACCTGTCCTACTCCGCAAGTCAACTTGCTACCTATCTCAAGAGGCCCGAAACAGAACACCTAGCGGAACTCGGCCGCGCTCTTCACTATTTCGTGAGCACCGCAACGATCGGCCTGACGTACTACAAAAACACAACTACGCCGACGAAACTAATCGGCTACGTCGATGCCGATCACGCCGGCGACTCAGATAACAGGCGCTCCCGCACTGGCTACATCTACCGCCTCGAACCTATCGGACCTATCTCCTAACAATCGAGCAAGCAGGAACTAATTGCTCTCTCTTCAGCTGAAGCAGAATATATCGCCCTCTGCTCAGCCACCAAGGAAGGACTCTACCTACGCGAGCTGCTGGAAGAAGCGAAGTTAGCCGAGTTACCCAACTTCACTTTGTTCTGCGACAACCAATATGCAATTCGCATCGCCAACAAGAGCGGATTCGCGAACAGAACGAAGCATATCGCCCTGCGATACTTCTTCGTGAAGGACGAGATCGAGAAAGGGAAACTCAAACTATCCTACTGTCCCACGTCCGAGATGGCAGCTGACTACTTGACGAAGAAGCTCGGAAAACAGAAGTTCGAGTACTGCATGCTGCTGACTGGACAAAGCCACGTCACCATCAGCGACACTCCAGAAGCGAAGGGGAGTGTTGGGAACAATTAGTTTAAGCGGCTCTGTCGTGTCAGAACTCAAGACACAAGCGAAGCAGCTCAAATCGAAGCATCGCGAGTCAACCCTCGGAAGTTAACGTAACCGCTGGAGGTTACGAGAAAGTCAAAGGTCAGCGACCTTTGACCTGACGCAGCGCGACAGCAAGGACACACAACTGACTCGACATTGAGCAGTTGCCCGAGTTGCACTGTATCGAACCGCAACAGTAAAGTAGTCATAATGTCTCTTCATATTCTTTGTACTCGTATATTTATTCCTGTATCTCTTTGCTTTAATCAACTTACTTTGCCCTCACATACTAGTGCAAGGTGGTTCAAGGACTTTATTCAACGCTTCCGCTATTACATCACTTACTCAGACTTTAACTCTACAAAGATCCTAGGGCTTTTCAGCCCAACAAGCGGCAGGTCGAGGCCGCGTCAGCGGCAGGACTGGGCCGCGACCGCGGCATGGCGGGGCCGCGTCGACGGCAAGGCGGGGCCGCGACAGAAGCAGGATGGGGCCGCGTCGGCAGCAGTAGAAAGCAGCGCGAGGGCTGCGGAGCTGCGTGCGGGGCAGGAGAAGGCAGCGCGGGGGCTGCGGGGCGGCGCGCGGGCCTGACGAGGCAGCTAGCGAGCTATGCGCGGGGCTGACGAGGCAGCTGGCGGGCTGCTAGCGGGCTGTACGAGGGCCAGCAGAGGCGAGCGCGAGGGCTGCGCGACTCAGGGCAGTGTAGGCAAGGGGCGGGGTAACTCGGTAACCGGCGGAAAACGGGTGGTGGACCCTGAAAAACAGTCCTAAAACGGTCCTAAGGACCTATGTGTCAGAATCCCAACCACTAGACCATTGGGATAAAAGGGCTTGTTAAGTAGCGGGTCAGTGCGCCCATAACCCCCCAGGCCAACGTGCCTGTAACCCTTCCCTAGGATCAATCGGGGATCACCAGTAGACCTCTGACACCCCTCTGCACTGGGATGCCCGAGGTGCACACACTGGGATTCGAACCCGAGACCTTCGCTCTGATACCATGTCAGAATCCCAACCACTAGACCATTGGGATAAAAGGGCTTGTTAAGTAGCGGGTCAGTGCGCCCATAACCCCCCAGGCCAACGTGCCTGTAACCCTTCCCTAGGATCAATCGGGGATCACCAGTGGACCTCTGACACCCCCCCGCACTGGGATGCCCGAGGTGCACACACTGGGATTCGAACCCGAGACCTTCGCTCTGATACCATGTCAGAATCCCAACCACTAGATCATTGGGATAAAAGGGCTTGTTAAGTAGCGGGTCAGTGCGCCCATAACCCCCCAGGCCAACGTGCCTGTAACCCTTCCGTAGGATCAATCGGGGATCACCAGTGGACCTCTAACACTATGTTGCTCTTACGGTAATACCATGTCGAGAGTAAAGGGAAAAGGTGTTACACTATCGAGAAAGTTGGGTACGAGTAACAAAGCATATACCCTACATTAGCTACCCCAGTAAAGCCTACATTTTATTATGACATAGGCATATAAATTTGACAATATAAGAACAATATATCTACACATCCACATAGAGGACCCTCATACAGTTTCGGCTACACTGGTGTCACTCATTGCTTGTCGGGCACGAGTATATTGTTAATGCCATGGACATAGAAGGATGTGCCCTTGTACAGGTTGGGGTACACTATGGTGGCGTTGCGCTCATTGGATGGCGCCTGCAGCACCACGTGCGTTGCGTTGCTTGCACTGTTCTTCACCAGGTACTTTCCTGGAAGCAGCGTTGAGTACTGGCGGAGAGGGGAGCAGAAGGGATGGGTATGGTGCGGGCGAGGGAGGAGTGGCAAGTCGTCCGTGAGCTGAGGAAGCATAGGGGATTAAGAAAGAATGTGATGAAGCAACAGTGACTCGGAAGACAGAGGAGAATCACGTGACCCTGAAAAAACCATGCAAGCGGCGCACTAAAACACATGAACGGAAGCTCAAGATGAACATATCAGTCATTTTGTTGGTTCCTCCCCTTTTAACAACAGACTCGCAACAAGAAGCGTGGAGTGCACACACCTGCGTGCCAGGAGCACCCGCTAGCAGATCCGCGTGTGATTTATATCCGTCAATGATTTGATAGAGTGTAGTTTCGTCTGTAGTGTACCCGTTACAGACTGTCACTGCACCGCCCACCACAGCATCCATGGCGTTGGGCAGGGGCATGAGAATGGTGGCCTTCTTGTTGCCTCCTAGAATGTCGCGCATTGTGGTTACCAAATCTGATGCGCCAGAGAGGTGGGAGGAAGGGAGGGAAGGGGGGAGGGAGGGAGGAAGAAAACAGCGTCCATGGCGTTGAGCAGGGGCATGCGGATGGTGGCCCTCTTGTCGCCTTCGAGAAATGTCGCGCAGTGTGGTTACCAAATCTGATGTGGAGAGGGGGGAGAGAAGTAGGGCGGGAGGCAGAGAGGGAGGGAAGGGGTGACGGAAGAGGAGGCGGGTGGGAGGGATGGAAGATGAATACAAGAAACATTCAAATCCAAGAGGGGTGAACCAAACAATGAGCGAGTTGACTTTTGAATCGACTCACAAGAAACATACAAATTCAACAGAGGAGAACAGGGGATTGAGCAAAGGCGCAAGCGCACGCATGGACGCATGGGCGCATGGACGTATGGTCACATGGGCTCATGGGCGCTTGGTCGCATGGGCGCATGGTCTCATGGACGCGCGGACGCATGGGCGCGTGGAAGCGAGACGCACCTGACTGCGACGCCATGAGGACCGTAGGGAAGATGAATGCAACAAACAGACGTACCAAACAGAGGAGAACAAGAGAGTGAGCGAGGGCGCATGACGAACGCATGGACGCCTCAACGCATCGGGACGCATCGGGACGCACCTGACTGCGACGCCATGAGGAGGAACGCTGGGCTCCCCGCCGCCAGCGCCGCCAGCGCGCCCTGAATTTCCGTCAGCTGCGCTGACGTGGCAGCCGACAGCAGATTCCGGCGGTCCGTCGGCGAAGAGGCACCGGCGATGGGAGGGATGGACGAGGCGAGGAGGAGAAGCAAGGAGGCGGCGGCGAGGACGGATCGCGACGCGCCGAGTGCATCATGCCGCGGCGGTTTGGCGGCGAAAACAAGTGGTGTCATCTTGTGGCCTTTCTCGTCTGCTGGAGGAAGAAAGACTGCTGCCTACGAGGGACGGCGCTAACAAGCGACTTTTGAGGGAAAGATGACGTCTCCAGAGGCGACGCGCGTGTCGAAAATCTGCGTTCGGATCTGCTATCGATACGATTCTGACTTGATGCGAAATGGATGTCCTCGGTATACTACGAGCTTGGTGAAGGAGAGGTTGCACCTGGCAGGTTCGAGACTGCGAACTGACGCCTCTTGCGGCGAAGCTTCGGGAGTCACGATAGGTGGGTGTGGGGGAGGGAAACGGGTGAGGGTGGAACAGAGGCACGGGGGAAGATAGCAACCAGAAGATGGAAGTACTACGAATAGGATTCAACGATGCAAGCTCAGACGCAGAATTCGCTAGCGTCAGGGTAAATTGGAAATGGAATCGGGTGGGATGGCTGGTGCTACCACTTGTGTGGGAAAAGGTGGCAATTCCTTGAAACGGAGAGCACGGGAGCAATTTCATATTTCGCTTGGGGGAAAGGTGCACAGACCTTTCAACCGTTTTAAAATGCACATTCTCGCCGAGAACCTTACCAGACCGAGGGAGGGCAGCAACACACACTTGGTTGGTGGCTGCTGTGGTGGGGCAAGAGAAGGGAAGTGGAGGGGGAGGCGAGGCGAGGCGAGTTGGGGAAGGTGATGGTTGTGCGCCGCCCGCCACGCTTGGACAACTGGTGCTGGGCTGGCGACGCGCACCGACCTACGTAACTGGGCGGCCTTCGATATATTTCAATGCAGACGTGGTGTATCATTTGAGCTACGGTACATTCAAAATAGTCAAATCGTTTATGAAAATACTAAAAAGTGCTCCCTCTCACTTTGCACAAACCAGGTTACACAGAAAGCATTTCTATTGACGAACTGTGTAATTTCCGTACCTTCTAATCCTCGAATAACTACCTATCCCCAACCTCCCCCCATACCCCCATCTCCAGGCCTGTCCATGCGATAATTCCCGTGCGGCCCTGCATGCCTCGAAGGGGGAAGTGGAGGCATGTTATAGCCAGTCATACCACCTCCATCCACTCCACCCATCCCAACCCCTCCCATACTTCCACCCATCATCCCCCCTCCCATACCTCCTCCCATTCCCCCACCCATCCCTCCTCCCATCCCTCCTCCCATGCCCCCTCCCATTCCCCCTCCCATGGCGCCACCAGGGCCAGCAGCAAAAGCACCCAGCCCCCCTGAAGAGGGCCCTTGGGGGAAGAATTGCCCCCCTGCAAAGGCACCTCCATCTCGCGCCATCCCTCCCATACCTCCTCCCATTCCTCCTCCCATGCCTCCTCCCATGCCTCCTCCCATGCCTCCTCCCATGCCTCCTCCCATGCCTCCTCCCATGCCTCCCCCCATGCCTCCCCCCATACCTCCTCCCATACCTCCTCCCATGCCTCCTCCCATAATGCGGGAATTCTGAGCTTGCTGGTTCTGCTGCTGCTGCTGTTGGTGGGAGGGCGAGGGGGAAGAGGGAGGGTAGGAGGGAGTGGGTGGTGTGGCAGGCAGGTAGTTGGCAGGGAGAGGGGGCATAGTGGGGGGGCGAGCAGGGGCAGGGGGAGAGGAGAATTGGGGTGGGAGAGATGAGGGCGCGGAAGGGAAGTGAGGAGGGAGGGGAGGTTGCCGGGTGGATTGTGAGGGGTTGGGAGGGGTGGAAGGGGTGGGAGGTGGAGGGAGAGGGGGACGATTGAGAGAGGGAGAAGGGAAGCCAGAATGAGGAGGATTAGGGGGAGTGGATTGGAATGCACTGCTGCTGGGAGGGAGAGGCGGGTGGGATGGAGAGTGGGTGTGCGAAGAGAAGAAGGTAGAGGAAGGGGAGGAAGGAGGAGCAGACAGTGGAAGGGGGGGTTGAGGGAGGGTAGGGGGGCGGGGGACAGGGGGAGGGTTGGGTTGTGGGGGGAGGTTTGAGGGAGCGAGTGAGGGAGGTGGAAGGGGGCGGGAGGGAAGGGATGAAGGGGGAGGCGGAAGTGGAGGGTGCTTCTGCTGTTGTTGCTGCTGCTGCTGCTGCTGCTGCTGCTGCTGCAGTTGCATGGGAGACAATGAGGGTGCAAGCGGGGCAAAGCTGCCTGAACGAGCAGATTCTGGAGGAGAGGGAAGAGGGGGCCCAGCAGAGTGCAGAGGGAGGGGTGGCTGGCGCGCGGGCGGCGGGAGGGGAGGGGGGAGGGAGGCTGGGGCGTGTGGGGAAGCAGGTGGGGCGTGGGGGGAAGCGGAGGGCCTGAGGGCAGCAGGTGAAGGGGGAAGGGGAGCAGCAGTGGGGGATGCCCGCCCTGCACTGAGTGAGCTTCCACCAGCCGCACCCGACCCCACTGCCCCCACTGCTCCCCTTTCACCACCCCCGACTCCCCCACCCCCTCCTCCCCTTGCTATTCCTCCGCCCCCTCCTGCCTTTCCTCCGCCCAGCCTCCCAGCAGCAACACCGCCAGAGGGACTCGCAGGGACCCCAGCAGTTGCACCTGCTCTACTCGGCCCAGACCCCCCAACCACTCCACCTGAACCTCCCCCTCCTCCCCCTGCTCCTGCTCCTCCTGTTGATCCCGCTCCTGCTGCTCCGGCTGCTACTGCCGCTGCCATCGCTGCTGCTCCTGCTAGCCCTGCTGTCGCCCCTGCCACTGCGACTGCCTTCCCTCCCCCATCCGCCAACACTGACCGCCCAAAGCCCTGCCCATGCCACCCCTCTTCATGCCCCTCCTCCCCTCCCTCCGCCCCTCCCATCGCGCATATACTTTCAGGCGAGGTGGCGGGAGTGAGTGAGGGAGGAGTGGGGAGGAGGAGGTGGGGGCGGGAGGGGTGGGGGGCGATCGATGGGTGGGCGGAGCGGGTGTGGGAGGAGAGGAGAGAGAGGCGGGGGAAGGAGAGGAAGCAGTTGGGGGCGGCGCAGATGTAGAGGCCTCCTTGGTACGCGGAGACAGGGTGCACTGCTGTGATAGGCGCCAGGCACCTGGTGGGAGGGAGAGAGGGAATGAGGGACGGAGCGAGGGAGGGAGGGAGGGAGAAATAAGAGTGCGGATGGGCATGGGGGGCAAAGGAACAAGGTGTAGAAGTTGGGTGCAGCGCAGATGTAGAGGGTGCTGGGAGGGCGGGATGGTGAGGGGATGCGTGAGGGGGTGGGTGAGGGGATGGCGGGATGGGTGAACAGATGGGGAGGGGAGCGGAGGATGGTCATGTCACGGGGATGGGGAGGAGGAGAAGGAAGAAGGTTGCGACGGATGGGTGTGAATAGCGTGATAATTCTGATACGAAAGAGTGCGTGAGAAATATGAACCACTTGCCCTTAGAATCCACGCAAAACAAAATAATCAATGGGCAAGATTTTTTCGATGGTACACGTGTCACTGAAGCAGAAACCTGGGAGGGAGTTTCGGACTTGGGTGGAGGGGAGCACGTGGTCTGCTATAACGCGTGTGCTCCATACAATAGTGCCGGCATCTTGTAGAACCATCGCGCGGATGGTTTCCATGGTGCAACACATCTTAAGCGATGAGGAGATAAAAATTATGCGGAGCAACAAGGCCGCGCTCTTGAGTTGGTGAAATATGATTAAAGATGCAAACTTGGAGAGGGAACAGTGGGGTGCTGACGGCAAATACCTGCCAAGCGTTTGGGCTCGTGTTCAAAGTGTGAGGGTGCTGGAAGGGGCTGCTATGCGTGGGCTCTGGAAAATGAGCGCCAAGCAACAAAACACTTGACGATCATTTTGACACCGAAGGTTCCGTAGACTTTTTTTTAAGCCTCGCTGTAGAAATTTTGCACAAACACTTTCACGTAGTAATTCCGGCTCGAAGTCTTGAAATCTAAAAGCTGCTTCACAAAAAAGCAACCCCAAACCAAACCAACTAACATTTCAGCCCCCAAAAGCTTTGAACACCGCACAACATCGACAAAACCCAACCAACGCACAACACAAATATCTGATTCTGCAAACTCCAACTCGCCATTAAGGCTTCGGTTTTTCTTGACCGACAATTATAACTGCAACTTAAACGCCATAACAGCCACTTCGCAGGCAATTATGTCCCGAAACCAATCCAAGGGTGGACCTTTCTTGCCTGATTGTTTTAGCTGCCCGCCGAAGCATTTTTGCAACTATAAGAAAAATCGCTGGACTCGCAAAGCTCTGAACGCTAACGGGCTGGCATGCAACTCGCCTCGCCCTCTTGCAGACTTGCATCCACCCACAGGTGCACACCCACAGCGAAGCCAGGCGGGACGAGCTGCATGGCAGCCAGGCGGGTGTTAACCCACAGGTGGGGATGAGTCTCCTCCAGTGCAAGCTCTGAACGCTAACGGGCTAGCATGCAGCTCGACTTGCCCTCTTGCAGACTTGCATCCACCCACAAGTGCACACCCACAGAGCAGCAGCCAGGCGGGCGTTAAGTGGCTGACATGAAAAGGGGTTTAACCGGGTAACTAGCGGGGCTGACCTGTAGCAGGCTTTGAGCGCAGAGGCACACTTGAGGCAGAATGCGTGCGTGCAAGGCTCCTGGTGGCGGGCGGGGGTGGAAACGGATGAACAGAGGCGCACTTTGAGGCAAAAGCATGCATACGGAGATTTAGAAGAGAAGGTATGAAACCGAAGCATTCAGATTCGAGTCAGAATGCGTGCGTGCAGGGCTCCTGGTGGTGGGGATGGGGATGGATGGATCGAGACACGATTTGATGCAAAAAGCATGCATACGGGAATGGAATGCGTGTGAGCAGGGATCCTGGTGGTGGGGGAATGGATGAGCGGCAAGCTAAAGATAGAGTGGGCAGATAGAGTGGGCAGATAGAGTGGGCAGATAGAATGGGCAGATAGAGTGGGCAGATAGAGTGGGCAGATAGAGTGGGCAGATAGAGTGGGCAGATAGAGTGGACAGATAGAGTGGGCAGATAGAGTGGGCAGATAGAGTGGGCAGATAGAGTGGGCAGATAGAGTGGGCAGATAGAGTGGGCAGATAGAGTGGGCAGATAGAGTGGGCATGGACCTCAATCAACGAACCCGGAGGAGGATTCACTCAAACCTGCATGACCAAACAGCCAAACCCAGACTAGCCCATGCCCAACCGGTTCGTTTTCGACCCGGGCCTGGCCTTTTTCTTGGACTGGTCGGCCTGGGTCGGGCCGGGCTGGATTCGGCTCAAGTGAAGTGAACTGACAAGGTTTGACTTTTGCCTGCTTGCGGAAAGTCGAATCGGGTTCGGGCCGGTTTGACTCAAGCTGCGGCCCAATGCGAATGTTGCGTGGCCTGGCCAGAACACATGTGACAGAACACATGTGACAGAACACATGTGACAGAACACATGTGACAGAACACATGTGACAGAACACATGTGACAGAACACATGTGACAGAACACATGTGACAGATTGCGTGAGGGTGGTTTTAGGACTAAGCGATGAAAAGCCGGAGCTCACTTCTTAGCTCCAGCCTTCATCTTTCTGGCCAGCCTAGTCTCTGACTGACCTCATTCCCCACCAAAGTACCATGTTTGTATTGTATGACTGGCTGGCTTCCAATAGTTAGTGAAACTAATTACCTTTGAGGCGCCTAAATAAAAACTACCCATACCGAGGGAGACTACAACGAGATGGCCCGGGCTGAACTCAAACCGCCCCTCCCCCTCCAACGAGCCGACTAAGGTTCGACCCGAACCTCTAATAGACTGGGTACACTTGGGGGAACCTGAGCCCAGGTTGCTCACGAACTGCCTGCTTCAGCCCGATCCTGCCATCAGCCCGACTAAGGTTCGACCCATGGCGGAACGGGTTCACCCGTGCTCATGCCTAGCTCAGAAGGGAGTGAGAGAGAGGAGAATGAGGAGGGAACGTGGAGGTGAAAGAGGGGGGTTGCGGAGGCAAAAGAGGAGGGGTGCGGAGGTGAAAGAGGAGGGGTGCAGAGGTGAAAGAGGAGGGGTGCGGAGGTGAAAGAGGAGGGGTGCGGAGGTGAAAGAGGAGGGGTGCGGAGGTGAAAGAGGAGGGGTGCGGAGGTGAAAGAGGAGGGGTGCAGAGGTGAAAGAGGGGGGGTGCAGAGGTGAAAGAGGGGGGGTGCGGAGGTGAAAGAGGAGGGGTGCAGAGGTGAAGGAGGGGGGGTGCGGAGGTGAAAGAGGAGGGGTGCAGAGGTGAAGGAGGGGGGGTGCGGAGGTGAAAGAGGAGGGGTGCAGAGGTGAAGGAGGGGGGGTGCGGAGGTGAAAGAGGAGGGGTGCGTGAGGCAGTGGGGGGAGGTGCGCGAGGCAGTGGGGGGAGGTGAGGTGCGCGAGGCAGTGGGGAGAGGCTGGGGGGTAGTGGGGATGGGGGGTGCGTGGGATGGGAGCTCACGAGGCAGCCATAGGAGGCGATGGGGAGGCTGCACTTGGCGCACAAGTGCAGGCGGGTGCCCGAGCAGTGCACCACGTGGTAGTGCGGTTGAGAGCGGTGGTGATGGGGGGACGTGCCAGGGGAACTTACAAGGCGGCCGTAGGAGGCGATGGGGAAGTGGCACTTGGCGCAGAAGTGCAGGCGAGTGCCCGAGCGGCGCACCACACGGAAGCCCTCCACCCGCACGCCCCTCACCTCCCTCTCCCTCACTGCCCTCTCCGCCTCCATCAACTCCTCCCCCTCCCCGTCCTCCTCTTCTTCCTCCTCTTCTTCTTCCTCTTCTTCCTCGTCGTCCTCCTCCTCCTCCACATCCTCCCCCTCCTCCTCTTCTTCCTCCTCCTCTTCTTCCTCCTCGCCATCTTCATCCATCCATCCATCACCCCCCTCCTGCACTGACTTTGACTGCTCCCTTCCCTCCCACACCTCTTCCCCCTCCTCACTCTCCTCATCCGACTCCTCCTCTTCCCCCTCCTCCGCCTCCTTCCCTTCCTCTTCCTCCTCCTCTTTACCCGCCCCCTCTTCCCTCGTCTTTTCTGCATTTCGGCCATTTCCCCCCTCCCGCTCCTCCTTACCCTCCCCCTCGTATTCCTCTCTATCAATCTCGTCTTCTCCATAATCCACCTTTTCCTCCTCCTCCTCCTCCTCCTCCTCCTCCTCCTCCTCCTCCTCCTCCTCCTCCTCCTCCTCCTCCTCCTCCTCCTCCTCCTCCTCCTCCTCCTCCTCCTCCTCAACCTCCTCCCCTTCCCCACCCGCTTCCTCCCCTTTCTCCCCTGCTTCCGCCACGATCTTCTCTGTCCCCTCGTCCCCGCTCTCCCCGCTCTCCCCGCTCTCCTCGCGCTCTTCGTATTCGCCGAATCGATCTTCTCGCCCCTCGTCGCGCCGCGCCGCCTCGGCCTGCTCGTTCCGATCCATCTCCCTCGTCAGCCGTCGCTCACTCCTCTTCGCTTTCGTCGCCACCGTCGTCGCCGCATCGCCATCGTCGCGCACCGCGGAGACTGTTTCCGCCGCCAGTCGTCGCTTCACTCCGCCCATCGTCGCCCGCTTGGTGTTCCGCGCGCCAACCTGCTATCGAGTCTGCGCGCACACTGGCGGCGAATAAGGAAGCGGAACTTCACACCTGCAGTTGATTCCGTCAAGCCAACCAGCTATCGAAAAGGGACTGGCGAGAAGGGACAGGCGTTTCACATCCGCTGCTGGTTCAGCCACGAAAGCTCAACATACAGGGACGGAGCAGACAACAAACACACAGGACAAAAACGCCGCGCATGTACAGGCCTCGTGTCTCAAACGAAGAGATGCAGTGCGGTGGAAATGTTCGACACTTAGGTGTAATGCGGTGCAGACTGGTACAGCGGTTGTATGTCGCGATTGAGACATTTGTGTCCAGAGCGGAAATTACCCTAAACCTACAGAACTTGCTAAGAAATTCTAAAACGAGGATAGATTCTAGTTGATTGCATCGGCTACTCGCGTCCCCGTAGCTTGCAGAATCTCGGCGAATTGTTGTGTGCGTGGCATTGGATTGTCCGGGCTCGGCTTTATGGGCCCATTGTAGGGTTTTGCCCGTAGTTCAAGTAAAACTGTGACTGCTGCGTCGGTGCCGACGTGACGTTGTTGTAGGCGAACTCGATTAGCAGCAACTGTTGCTCCCATGTTGTCGGGTCGCCGCACGTAGCACGAATACTACTCCATGGTTTGGTTTGTCCGTTCCGTCTGACCATTGGTATAGGGGTGGTACGACGAACTGAACTGCTCTCGGGTCCCGAACTGTTCCCGGGTCCCGAACTGCTCGTGGGTCCCGAACTGCTCCCAAAGGTTCTTCTAGAAGTTGCTAGTAAACTTCATGTCGCGGTCGCTGATTATTGTGCCTGCTATCCCGTGCAATCGTATGACGGTCGCGATGAACAGGCGAGCGGTTTCTTCGACTAAGATCGATTTCCTGCACGAAGCGAAGTGGGCCATTTTCGTCAGTCGGTCACAACAACCGTGTTACAATCCAAGTGGGACTTAGCGAAGGACCACTCAGGGTTGATTGCAGGGTAGTGTTATAGCGGAAGTGTTGAACTCAGGTCAGATTGAATGTAAATGACTGAGATTGATAATAGCATGCATACATCGAGTTTATGAAGGAAATACAAAGGAATACTAAACGACCTAGACTAGCCATGTACTCTAAGGGGTACATTCCCTTATTACAGCAGAGTTCAAAACTGTGCGGCACGGGAACCCATTCCAAACATGTTCCCACTATTTTCACTTCAAATGTTTCTGCCTGCATCAGACTTGGTCAGACGGTTACCAGCGTCGTTTCGACTCTTCTGACTCCCCGAGTTCGTACTCTCGTAACAAACCGTAGCTGCGTCATCAACTACAGGGCTCGAAGGTAACCCCATGCGAAATCCATGGTAACCTGGTGACGAAATCCATGGTAACCTGTGTGAAAGTTAGAACGAAGAATGATAATTAGAAATGGAATAGTACAAGGTTTATATAGGCAAAACCTATAAGGGCTGTACCCCATAAAGAGTGCCCCACTACAGCCTAGAGTATAGTTCTGACACACCCCCACAGGCAAAGTGGGGGACATGCAACAGAACAAGGCAAGATCAAGCTCATGATGGATCACGACGTCACCACGCATTCTGAGCACAAGCAAAAGGTCACAAGGCCAGTTCACATGCAGAGTTATATATCAAGGTGAACAAGCAGTACAGTGATCACAACCTAACAAGTGTAAGCAGGTATATATAGATCACAGTACAAGCAAAGTTAAGAGGTGAGCAAGTGAGGCAAGGTAGGCACAAGACCTAACGGAGTACAGAAACGCTGATGATCACAAGGTTGAAGTGCCTTGGTAAAGATATCAGCAGTGTTGGCCCGAGTGGCCACGTAAGCAAGACGAAGCTGACCACACTGCTGCAACTCTCGAGCAAGGAAGAAGCGAAGAGCAATATGCTTCGTTCTGTGCTCCAGTCTGTGCTCCTGACACAAGGCAATCATGGCCTTGTTGTCGACGTACAGAACTGGAGGAGAACGAGGCGCCCCTCCCTAGTCGGCCAGCACGTAGGTGAGCCAGCGTAACTCCTGTGCAGCCATGGCCCCAGCGTAGATCTCAGCCTCACAACTGGAGCCGAGAACGAAAGACAAGCGGGAAGACCGCCACGAAATAGAGCCGGAACCAAGGCTGAAGGTGTAACCCTGTGACGACCGCTACGTAGCCAAGTCGTCAACCCAAGAAGCGTCTGTGTGACCAGTCAGGACAACTCAAGCCCTTCCTCCAAGCACGAGCCCCATGGCCGACGTACAGCACAGGTAGCGCAACACCCTCTTATCTCCATCCATGTGCTCTGGTCGGTGTCTCCCAGGAGCAACATAGCATGCCAGGATGCTAAGAGGGTATGCCAGGTCAGGTCGAGTGCAGGCCATCAGGTACATGAGGCAGCCCACAAGCTCTAGGTACGGGCCACTCGGCTCTACGGAATCATTCGAAGGCAGAGCTAAGAGCGAGTGGCGAGTAGACAGAGGAGTGGACTGTGGCGAGGAGTACGTGAAGTCGAAGCGCTGAAGGACCTGCTACACCATGTGTGACTGAGTCAAGGTACTGGTGTGCCGTGCTCTGTCCCGGGTGATCAGCAAGCCAATATAGTTGCGCAGCTTACCGAGGTCTATGCATGTGTGTCTCTTCTGCAGCTCGGACTTCACGTGGGCCACTGCAGCAGTGTCAGCAGTGGCAAAGACCAAGTCGTCGACGTACACGAGGATGTAGAACGGCGGTAGAGTGGTGTCAGTGCGTAGAAACAGCGACGGGTCAGCAGTGGAAGGAGCAAACCCAAGAGTCGCAAGCGTAGTCTTCGGTGTGTCGTGCCACTCACGAGGCGCCTGACGGAGACCGTAGACTGGCCGCCGGAGGCTCCACTGAGTAACAGGAGGAAACGACCCAGTGAAGCCAGGTGGGCGGCGCAGCCAGATCTCCTCGTGCAGGCTGCCCTGTAGGAAAGCAGTGCTGAAGTCAAGAGAATGAAGCTCGTAGTCACGCTGAGCGGCGACGTGCAGCAGCACCCGAAGAGTGGTCATCTTCGGGGTGGGAGAGAAGGTATGAAAGTAGTCAACTCCCTATCACTGACTGAAGCCTCGAGCAACGTAGAGCGTCTTGAAGATAGGCGGAGAACCCGGCGGCCGCTTCACCCAGAAAATCCACATGCCATCAACAATGTTCGCCTTAGGTTGGGGAACCTCGTCAACGAAAGTGCCTGTGGACTTCTGGGAAGCCATCTCTGCGTCCATGGCAGTCACTGCCACTGAGAGGAGTAGGGACCCTCTATCGCCTCTGCGTAAGAGCGCGGGGCCTGGATGTCGGGTGCATCCGGGTCTCCCTGAGGGGCAAGCAGCATGGACACGAGATGAGGTAAAGCAGCAACAAAACACTGGAAATCCTCCTGCCTGTCCTCAAAGACGTCCGTGCTAAGAGCACACTCACCCCCGACGGACGGAGGACAGACAGACTCATGTGAAGAAAGAGGAATGACTGAACTAGCAAGGAGATGGGAACAAGTAGGGAAACCTAGTAGTGTTGTACCCCATATGGTCTACCCCACTACAACCTACACAGACTATGTCATGTATGTTTGACACACACCCATAGGCAAAGTGGGGGAGAACAAGAGGTCACAAGACCGGTCAAGCAAAGCAAGGCAAGCTCAGGGTGGATCACAACGTCACCACACAATGTGAGCACAAGCACAGGGCCACAAGGCCGGTTCACATGCAGAGTTATATATCAAGGTGAACAAGCAAAGTAGTGACCAAAACCTAGCAAGGGTAAGCATGCAAGTGCAGGTATATACAGATCACAATACAAGCAAAGTCAAGAAGTGAGCAAGTGAGGCCAAGTAGGCACAAGTCCTAGCATCGTACAAAAGCGCTGATGATTACAAGGCTGAAGTGCCTTGGTTAAGATATCAGCAGTGTTGGCCCGAGAGGCCACGTAAGCAAGGCGCAGCTGACCACGCTGCTGTAGCTCACGAGCAAGGAAGTAGCGAAGAGCAATGTGCTTCGATCTGTGCTCCAGTCTATGCTCCCGACACAAGGCCAGCATGGCCTTGTTGTCTACGTACAGAACTGGAGGAGAACGAGGCTGCTCTCCCAGGTCAGTCAGCAGGTAGGTGAGCCAACGTAACTCCTGTGCAGCCATGGCCCCTGCGTAGATCTCAGCCTCACAACTGGAGCTGAGAACAGAAGACGAGCGGGTAGACCGCCACTCGATAAAGCCGGAACCAAGGCTGAAGGTGTAACCCTGTGACGACCGCTACGTAGCCAAGTCTTCAACCCAAGACGCTTCTGCGTGACCAGTGAGGAACACTGGACTCCGCCCTCCAATCACTAGCCCCATGCCCGACGTACTGCACAAATAGCGCAACACCCTCTTCACTGCAGCCATGTGCTCTAGTCGGTGTCTCCCAGGAGCAACATAGCGTGCCAAGATGCTAAGAGGGTATGCCAGGTCAGGTCGTGTGCAGGTCATCAGGTACATGAGGCAGCCAACAAGCTAAGGGTACGGGCCACTCGGCTCTACGGACTCATCCGAAGGCAGAGCTGAGAGCGAGTGGTGAGTAGACAAAGGAGTGGCCTGAGGCGAGGAGTACGTGAAGTCGAAGCGCTGAAGGACCTGCTGCACCATGTGTGACTGAGTCAGGGTAATGGTGCGCCGTGCTCTATCCCGGGTGATCTGCAAGCCAAGGTAGCTTCGCAGTTTACCCGGGTCTGTGCACATGTGTCTCCTCTACAGTTCCGACTTCACGTGGGCGAGTCCAGCAGTGTCAGCAGTGGCAAAGACCAAGTCGTCGACGTACACGAGGATGTAGAACGGCGGCAAAGAGGTGTCGGTGCGTAGAAATAGTGACGGGTCGGCAGTAGAAGGAGCAAAGCCAAGAGCCGCAAGTGTAGTCCTCAGTGTGTCGTGCCACTGACGGGGCGCTTGGCGAAAACTGTAGACTGGCCACCGGAGGCTCCACTGGGTACCAGGAGGAAACGAC